AGAGCCCTGAACCAAGTAATTATCACCACATGACAAAAAAAGATAAAAAGCATAATTTTAAACTTATTTATCTTAAAGGTAACCAGGGCTGGCCAACCTGCCGGGGGGGAAAAACCCCAGAATCTGTGACCCCCATGCCACACACACTCATACTAGTATGCAGTGGTGTACCTCTGTGGCCAAAGGTTGCAGGCCTGGTCATAAAGCTAAAATGACCCCTTGGTTCTGAAGAATCTTTCTTTTGCTATTCTTTAATATATTTTCTAGTTCAAATTGCGTCTGAAATAAATAGCTTATATGAGAATGAGTTTGCAGTTACTATGTTATTAATGTGGTACTATTTTTTTTTAAAGTCACTTACACACAAACCAATCTAATTATCTACAAAGACATTTTTCAAATATTATTTCATTTTTAAGTTTTGGAGTTATTTTGGCAATGAATCTTTCCTAGCTATGCCTGCATACTCTTAATTGATTTTGGGTAGAGAAAGAATATATTTAAACACAAGGCAATCTAATTTCACACAAAAATCAGTTCTATTTTTATCATATTATTGTACAGGTTGAATAGCAATTTAGAGTCTATGAAACAACTTCCTACGTTTACTTAGAGAAAACATTATCAATTTGCACTAAAATTAAATATTGTGTCTTTAATTTTGTTACACTTTTCAAAAGTATGAAGTGGAACTTTCTGAAAGATGCTGAGATTATCTGTAGTTTTCATCAAGACTCAAGTCTGGCAGTAAAAATGTTGTTAATTTTTGGTTGCATTTTCCTAGATTCATATTTTACCACTGTATGTTGTGCTGTGTGATGTGCAATAATATATCAGTCAAACAACATAGAACAATATTTTCAAATGTTAAAATTTAAATGGGAAGCCAAAAGCAAATGTGAGAAGTGTACAATCCATAAAATTGTCTTCACAATTAGTAGAAATAGAAACACTACCCAACCAAACTGCAGTGTATTCCACTGAAGTTAAGGCATTTTGAAAATGTCTGCTGTATTGCTGAGTAAATGGATTGATTCCCTTTCTAACGGCCAAATACAACATTTCATACTCATATTCAATACAACCTACTGCCATGTTAGCTACCCTGCTAACAGGGTAGTTAACAAACTAGTGCTAATAGAAATTATTAAAACTAAAAATATTGAGGATTGTTAGCTCAATTTTAGCTTGTGCTAGATCAGCTTTACAAAACCCCACAAAAATATTTTCTTATTATTGTTGTCAGTGTTGGAGCTCTTGTCAAAATGAAGAAGTGAATTGTACGTTTTCACCACGTTATTTTCTCTGTGAAGACCTTGAAGTGACCCATATCTCAAGTGTGTGCCTAGCTGTGATCCCGCAGTACTGAGTCCATTGACGTGACGTGCACGGGATCTTGCACTTTAACACTGCCTCCAACTGCTCCAGGCGGGAAAAACAATTATGCAAATTTCCTGCAATGCAAGAGGTAACATGATTTCCAGAGGCAGTGAAAAAAAGCCCTGGAGTCTGTATCATAGTTTCAAAACAAAGCAGCTTGTTGGTTTTCAGGATTCTTTTTCAGTTTAGTTTGACAGTAGGGTAAATGATTGGGAAAGGATTTGACCTCTTCAGGTGTCTGTAGATAGGCAAAATACGCTCATGTTGGTACATCAAAAATGTAGGCTGAATGAGAATCACTTCAAGGATAGGGAAAAAACCCCCTATTTTCAGCATTGTGATTTATGTCTTGTAGCTGAGCACTGGAACATGCCTTTGGAAATAGTGGGGTTTAGCAGAATGCTTGATTCGAACTTTTAATAATATAATTTAAAAAAACATTTAAAATAGTGAAAGTTCTGCTCACTGTGAAAGAAATATTATAATAACACTTTAAACTGATGTAAAATCCTCTCATCCATTACATATTACGACTGACACCAACAAATGACTGTCTACACTGTATTTTATATTTGCAAACTAATGACCTGAAATTGCTGAGATCGGAATTATTTCTATAATATCACTTGCTGAATAAGGACTGTTAATGGAATTTTAAGAGCAAATCATGTCAAACCAATCTAATTTCCTTCCACAAGGTGGTTACAAGGCTTGCAGGTGGGAGAGACGTGGGAGATGATGTGTCTTAAAACTTTAAGCAAATCTCACATGACATAAGGAACAGAAATGGGTTTTGATGAACTTTTACTGAGTGAGGGTAAACTGGATGGAAGAGCAAAACGATCACCAGAACAATGATCAGTGCCAAACAATAGGACAAGAGGCAATGGGCAGAAACTGATGCACAGAAGTTTCACTTGAATTTGAGGAAGAAAAACTGACCTAGCGCTGGAACAGATTTTTAAGACAGGCTGTGGAGTCTCCCTCACTGGAAATATTTAAGAACCATCTAGATAAAATCTTGTGGCATGTGCTCTAGAATGACCCTGTTTGAGCAAGGAGGTTGGACCAGATGATCCATGGTGGTGGCCTTCCAACTTCTGAGATTCTGTGCTTTAGTATTTTTAAAAAAAACCCGACCAACCAAAAAATCCAAATCAAAATAAGCAAAGAAAGCACCAAACAGGTGGCACCTGTCTCGGCTACAGGTCTTTGTTCTTTTACGTAACGATCTAAAGGAGGAAATGGGATGTGTTTATAATATTCGTAGAGGACACAAACCAAGAGGCGACCGAGCTCTTGCCCAACCATTTTGCGGGCCAAGATGAGAATTCAGAAGGCACCGACGAGCCGAAGGAGCACTGCAGGGAGCGCCAGAACGAGCCTCTGCTGGAACAATTGCAGCATAATGAGGAATTAGCCCGAGCAAGTTTGCATTGCGTGCGGTCACTCGGTGCTGATCCCGCGGCCCCGGTGCCTTACAGACAGCGGCAGGGATCTGCTTTCCGTGCTGCTGCTTCCCAGTGCCGCTGCTCGGCGGGAGGGCGCGGGGCGCTTCCCGCAGCTCCGGAGCCGCGGTACCTCTCGGCGCCGCACCCTCAGCTCCGCAGGCTGCGCGCCGGCCCGGGGCTGCCGAGCCCACCCAGCGCCAGCCCCGGCAGCGGGCGGGCGGAGCGCGGCGCGGGGGGCGGGCCGAGGCGCAGCCGCACGGCGCCATCTCAGCGCGCCCGGGGCGGCCGCGGGCATGGGAGGCGCTGCCTGGCGCTGGGCGCTGCGCGCCGCCCGCCTCCTGCCCGGCGCCGGCGGCGGGAGAGCTCCCGCGGCGCGGCGGGGCCGCCCGGGCTGCGCGCCCGCCGCTTGCGCCGCTCCGTCCGCCGGCTCCGCGGTGAGTGAGGCGGGAGCGGAACAGGGCGGGCGAGGGCCGGGCTGGGCTGTCCCTGTGCTTGCGGGGCTGCCGTGGGGCGGCAGGCGGGACGATCTGTCCGTGTGCGGGTGCCCTGCCGGGCCGTGTCCTACGGCAGCCGGTTCAGCTGCTGAGTCCCTGCCGGAGGGGATGCGGTCGCTGCAGGCGTCGGCGGCGGGGCCCGGTCTGGGGCAGCGCTGGGCCGGGAGGAGAGGAAGATGGACGGTCTCTGCCCGCTTTTTACCCGCACTCGCCTGAACTCGGTGGGAGCAGTGCGCGGTGCTAAGCGCCCGAGGCGGTACCGCTGTGCCAGCCGGGAGCAGGTGGGACGCTGCCTGACGGGATGCTCGGCTCAGCTGCTCCGTTCGTCCAGCCGTGGGGGCCCCGCGTGTGGCTCTCCTGTGGCACGGCTCAGGGCAGGGACAGCGCCTGCCCTCAGCACCTCGGGCTCCTGCTCCTGCGCTGTTACTCTAATTGTTGTGCCTGAAACAGCTGTACCGAAAAGACCGCCAAGTCGAGTCTGTTTCACAAAGCTTCCGACTTTTAAGCAGCGTTTTGGTTTATTTCAATGCATTTTTTTATCTTTGACTGTTAAGATCAAGCATATTTAAGTGTTTGTCAAAAAATTATGACTGGTGTTATTTTAAGTTGGCCCAGTCCTTTCCTGCCTGTGAAGCAGACTCCCTTTGGGAGAGCCCTTGTGCAGAATGTTTCTCTAGACAAGTGGTGAAAATTTCTCAGTGTGCATGTAGGTTTCCTCCTGTCAGCTTTCTCTGCGAGAACTGCGGGTTGGTGCACATGCATTCACTTGCTTTTTGGTTTTGTTAGTTCTCAAGCTCTGGAGATGAGGCTCTGAGGGACAAACGTGCGCGGATCCTGTCGCGAGGGCTGCCAAAGCAGAAGCCCATAGAAGGGGTTAAGCAGGTGGTGGTTGTGGCTTCTGGAAAAGGGGGAGTTGGAAAATCAACAACAGCAGGTAAGGTTTCTTTATTTTTTAAATAATTTCCTTTGTGCATTTTATAGTATTTTGTATGGAATATTTAGGTGCTTGTGTCATTACCTTGTGATTGGGTTCCATAACACTTCACCTCTGACAAGTCCTGTTGCAGCCATTGGGAATTTACTTGGATACAGAAACCTTGGCTTTAACTTTGGTGTGAATTTAGCTTTGAAATTATATTTTTGTAATAGTGCAGCACTGTCCTGAGATATCAAGGCATCTTCAGAGGTGATGTAGGCTGAGGTGAAAGGGATCATATGTTAGTGCAACAACACTGTTCCTCCTTCCCTGGCTGCTTAGGTGTGCCTATGCAGTGCCTTTCTCTGTAGAGGATACTGATATTTAGAAAGTTTCCAGATCAGGACTCTTCAATTTTCTCAACTACATATGTAGATGCTTTATAAAGAAAAAGTGAAGCAGTACTTAAAACCACACAAATTGATCAGAGCTTTGTGAAGTACCTTGAACTCTTCTCTCAACTCCACTGTTAGGTTTTGAATTAATTTTTCTCTAATTTTTTCTCTACCACCTGTTCCTAGGTGGTAGAATAAGATGGTACATGGGTTACCAGTACTGCAGAAATCGATTTAAACTTAAATAAATGAGAGAATGGAAAAAGATTTGTTGTGCCAACATGTGCAAAAATCCATTTATTGTGCCTTCTTACAGTGGTTGAGAGAAGAATGACTGTTATCATCAACCTGGATATCTGCAAAACATTTGTCACTAACAAATGACATGACATCCTTGTCTCTGAACTGGAGAGACTGGGAGCTGATGGATGGACCACTTGGTGGATTAGGAATTGGCTGGATGGCTGCACTGCGTCCAGGTCTGGGTCCCCCAGCATAAGAAGGACCTGTGAGAGTGTGTCCAACAAGTCCAAATATGATCAGAGGGCTGGAGCACCTCTGCTGACAGGCTGAGAGATATGGCTTGTTTAGCCTGGAGAAGAAACTCTTAAAGAGTCTCTTCAGGGAGACTCTTTGAGAACCTTCCAGTAATTAAAGGGGGCTTACAAAAAGGAAGGAGTATGACTTTTTATATGGGCAGATAAGACAAGGGTGAATAGTTCTAAACCAGAAGTGGAGAGATGTAGATTAGCTGCTAGGAAGAAATTCTGTGCTGTGAGGGTGGTGAGACACTGGAACAGATTGCCCAGACAAGGGTGGTTGTCCCATCCCTGGAAGTATTCAAGGCCAAGTTAGATGGGGTTTGGACAACCTTGTCCAGTGGAAGGTGTCCCTGTCCATGGCAGGGGTTTGGAGCTGGGTCATCCTTAGGGTTACTTCCAACCCTAACCATCCTATGATACTATGACACTGAAAGTAAAGTTCTTGGAAAAGACCTCTGTAAAGTGTTAGAAATGTGTTTAAAGATCTCTTTCTTTGTAGAAGAGTTATTCTTTAGTTGAAGGATGTCTGCTCTTCATCTACATGTGTTGTGGATAACACATGGATGTAGCTCTTGATGTATAATTTTGGGGTTTGTAGTTCAGCCATGCTTGAAACAGACTGAGTAATAATTTCTAGAACAGACTAATATGATATCTGTACCAAAAGTAACTGTTCTTAAAAAAAAGTGTTTTTTTTCTATTTAGCTATTGTCCATCCTATACACAGGATACACCTACCTGTACAAAGACATGCAAAACAGTTAAAACTTGTATTTCTTAACCATCAAAAGGTATATCATTATAATACATAGACTGGTTGTTGTAGGTTACTAAAAATACCAAATACCTGTTCATCAATTGACAGTTTACAAAATGAAAATAATTTGAAAAGCAAATTCAGATTACTCTCCTCGTGTCTGCAAACAAATACCTGAATTTAAATTCTTGTAACTGGTATCTCTGTGTAATTTCTACATAAAATTTAACACATGTATAAATAATAATTAAAACTGTGAGTTCATTCCTGTGCATTTAAAAGTAAAAAATCAGGGTTCAACAAGCATTAAATAAGATATTGGAAATGTAAATGAAGCATTTACATGTATCTGTAATGGACAGCCTTTTAAAATTAATGTTTTAATTAGTAATATTGTGAAGGAAATCTATATTCTTGTGTATTACCATGAGGATAAATTTGATGGCTCAGATGAACAACTGAATTTCAGATAAATTATATAAACAAAACTATTGCACGGCATAATTACTGAATGTTTTCTCTTGTTAGCAGTGATAACATTCTTAATATTTAGGAATTAAGTTTTCCTGCACTTAATCTTTTTGTTTTTCCTCCTCTTCTTCCTTACAGTAAATATAGCCCTCGCCCTAGCAGCAAATGATTCGGTAGGTGAACATTTCATTATCAGCCTTAATGTGAGATGTGTGTCATAAATTAAGTGGTTACTGCTGAGGGCAGTTGCATACACTTAATGTAATTAATGCTTTTATTTAGTTAATTTCTATTTTTTTTGGTGGGCTTTTGAGTTTCTGTCAGTTTGTTTATATTTTATCAGTACCATGAATAACTTAGTAGATCTCATCCTGCTTCTGGGTTTGGCTCTGTCCTTTCCCTGGTGCGTCACTGAGTTGAACTGCAATTCTGGAAGGATGTATAGATGTCATGGAGAATGCTTCTGTAGGTTGGAGACAATAAATAATTCTACCACTTCAGAACACTGACTTGAAAAAAATTGGAGTTTGTGCTGAATAGTGTCCAAACCATTTTTTTATAGCTTCACAGATTTACTGTTTCTGGAGAAATTATGTATCAAAATACTTTATAAACAGCTAAGGTGAAAACCCCCCAAAACTATGTATCTTCCCTAAAGCTTGGAAGTAAAAATTTTTGAGTGATTTCCCAGCTCAGTATTACTAAAACTGTTGCCTGGACTATAAATAGATGGTAGAAGCCATTCAAGAGTAAAAACCACAGGTGTTCTTTATGTCCACCTGCTGCTGTAGATTGGGAGTAGTTCCATTGTGCACATTATTGCCACGCAGATAAACTCAGAAGCAAGTCTCCTTTGCAATGGGAGGGTGTATGATGCAGGCTTTGTACTCATAAAACATTAAATACAAAGTGTACTCAAGTACTTTAATCAGGCAAGTGTAGCATCTTCCTGTTGTAAAAGACAAGTAAAACAAAAAGCAACAGGTAGGAGTGAGGGCTACATGCAATCTGCAAACTTCCTGGAGGAATTTTGTAAAAGATTTAAAAAATATTTCCATAAACTCAGTCACATTTAATAAGAAGAGTGTTTAAAGCTGTTATATGAAGTATGCACTCTTTGTGATGGCATCTGATCTTGTTATTTCACAGTCTTTCATTCTGTGTTTTAAATAGGCTGTTGAAATAATTGGATCTCAGAGAAAAATCTGTCATGTTGAAAAGCAGAACTGTTTAAATGGTTCCTTCTAATCAAGTTTAAAACATGGCATTTGCTCTAATACTTTTGTAAAAGAAAACCCTAAAAACAACTCTGCAATGTGATCTGTGTTGTGGGATGGTCACTGAGTAGCTCCATGGAAACAGTGTGAACCAGTTGCACATAACTTTCTGTACTAGCTTATGGGCTTTTTTGATGGTGTCTGATACTTCTCAAACATGCAGTTTTATGCATTTAAAATATATTTAGATAAAGTATCTCTTTGTAATTCTGACATACACAAGTTTTGGGATTATGCCCTTTTTTAGGAGTTTAGATGTTACAATTATGTGGTGGTGTGTGAAGTTGGAGGCCAGCATCTGGTGGATGTTAAATAATGAAGAGCAGCTGGAATTGATGAAATAGCTGTGAATTGTGTGAACTGGTGCTCACAGGTTAGCAAGCTGTTACTGTGGTGAAATGGTGCACTGATGTAGTTTCAAGTTAGAAAGTATGAAATTAAAGTGGATTAAATAAACAACTCTCTTGTTGGTTCATGCATTAATATATTTTTTCTTCTGTGGTTTACTTTCCTTAAGATAATTAATGGCATGCATTATGTTTATTTTTAACCTTTGGGCTTGAAGTTGCTCGTTTGTTCATTTGTGTACTCACATTGATTTTAGTTCATTAATTTTGTGAGATAAGGTTTTAAAATTAAAATCTCTGTGACCTTGTTCCAGACTGGAACTGTCCAGTGCTCTGAATTCTATAAATCATTGCAATTTTCAGTTTTGCAATGGTGAATGAAGTAAATAAGGAGGTTGTTTTTCAGAGTCCATTGGTCCTCCTGCTGTATTTTATAGTGAATTTCTTTGTCCTCAGGTATGCAGCAATCGATGCCTTTATTTTACGTCTAGTGACTATTGATGGTGCCTCACCTTGCCATGGTTTTTGTTTCCTTCATTGCTGTTGTAAGTTCATCTCTTTCAGAAGAAGCAGTAATGATTGTTAGTTGATCAGAGCTTCAGAAGGTCCCTGCAACTTCATTAACTGCCCTTATGTCTCTTATAAACAAAACACAAATTGATAGAAACTGATCTTGAACTTGATGTACTGCTTAAAGGAGGAAAGAAAGGAATTGTGGAGGAAAATAAAGGTGATGACTATAAAGGTCTGTGCTTCCTTCATAGTCTGTTACAAGTTCTATGCTTGTCACTGGTGTTCTTTTTCTAAGCTAAAACAGGTTAAAGACTATTGAAAACATCTGTTTTCTGGTGAGTGAGATCTGTGAAAGATGCTCTCCTTTAAGAGGAGATGGGATTAGATTCTTGCTACTTTCAGTGATTGCTGTGACATCTTATTGTTTGGTGTATCATAAATTGGAAGATTACCAAAGTGTAAAGGATTTTTTGTCCTCTTGATAAAAGAAAACATCCTTCCATCTTTTAAAAATCTACCTTCTGTAGTGAAAAAAACAACAAAACCCCCACTGTTTCTACTGATATATGTATTTTAATTTTTTTTTAACATGGCAGCTTTTTCAGTTATTGTAGTGATGGCCTGAAGTACTAAGCCATCAGCAGAGCCTTGGACATTGTCATGGTCACACAGTGTTGTTGGCAGAGCCAGGATTAGAATTTCAGTGTTCAACGTCTTGCATGCTGGTGCTCAGTCTGCTTTGCGTATTTTTACCTCATGGTTACAGGGTAAATAATTCAAGACAGAAGTTCATTTAGATGCCTAGATGCCATGTCCAAGACAGAGTAGTTTGGTGGATTTTTTTTTTGTTTTGTTTTTTTTTGGTTGGTTGGTTTTGTTTCTTGATTCAGAGCCAGGGAAGACAAGCAGGGCAGCCTCTTATGCCTTCCTAGCCATATTAGTTTTTTTGGTTCCCTGGGTTACCTGTTGTAGATGGATTAGTTAAGAAATATATAAGCTCTTGGGCCTGTACCAAGGCCTATAAATCTATACAGTGTTCTTTTTGTGTTAAGAAATAACTTAAAGTTTTACCCTTGTGTTCTATTGTTAATTGCTTGCTTAGTTTGACAGCTGATTCTTTTCATTCTTTTGATGTACCAGCAGTCAGTTGTGCTCCCCTAGGAGCACTTGGGAAGAATTTTTGGGTTTTGTGCCAGGACAATTCATATTCAGACTAGAATGACTATTTATGAAAGCTGCCTGGCCAGAGACAATTTATTGTAGTAGAAACAAGTTGAATTAATAGATGGCAGCAATAATAGGGTAGGGATTGCTTGTTTATGAACAGAGTATTTTAGTGAGCAAACACCAGCTGTGCATGACTAAGGATGGCACAAATCCAGTTGGGAGGCTGCATGCTTGTGCTGTCACTGTGAGGCAAGCTCCCCAGTCAGATTTCCTTTGGCTCGCCTTTTCGTTAGGGAAGATTTACATTTTCACTATAGGATGAAATGTTTTTTGCGTTGTGAAGGACAGAGGAGGAAGCAAAACCATATGGACCAAGTTAGCATTTACGCATAAGCAAGTGGCTTCTGCCTGCAGTACTGGGGCACGTGGTGAAAGGCAGCAGTTTTCCGTATTCTGGCGTAGCGCCAGGGGGTTACTGGGTGGTGGTGCAGACCAGGACCAAGACGGGCAATGCACCAAGGGTGATTTTTATGCGGCGGAGCGGATTTCCCCGTTTTGCCCAGCCGAGGCCGCGGTTGCTGCGCAGCGCGCGGATGGCGGCTGCGGCCGGCAGGGGGCGCGCGGGCCGCGGGCGCTGCGGGGCGGGCGGGGCGCGGGAGCCGCGCGGGGGTCGCGCCGTGTCCCCGCGGCCGCCGCGCTGTCCCCACCGTGTCCCCGCCGCTGCCGCGCTGTCCCCGCGCCTGCTCTTCTCTGGAGACACACATCTCACCTGGGTATCTGGCCGTTATCAGCACAGGCGGGGAAGAGGTCTATTTCTCATGCCTGTATAGTCAGTTACAGCATAGTGATAGTGTAGGTAGGAGCCGACTCTTCGTGTCAGCTCACTACTGTGGCCATAAAATTAATTTTAATTTCTTCAAACCGAGTATTTAATCAAAACCCACACATTTCAAAACTACTCAAAACCACCCAGGTTACTTTTTTTACATTCCAGGGTTTTTGGTTGTTTTTTTTTTTTTTTTTTTTTTGGTGTTTTTTTTTTGGTTTTTTTTTTTTTAATATTTGGCTTGTGTAATTAAACCATTTCTCCCCAGGCTAATACCTGACTGCTGCATTCATAGATGATTTTACAATGCATATACATTTCTTGCTGATAAGGAAGAAATTCCATGTGGGGAAACAAATCTTGAAGAATTTAGGCAATAATGGGATCCTTCACTGGGTAATCGTAGCATGAAGACAAGTTTTGAGTTGCTTTTCTGGTTGTTTGGGTTTGATTTCTAAGCATCTTTAACTCTGTTGCATAGAGAGTCAGAAGAATTTAATCACTGTAGCTAAGGCCTTCATGCATGTTTCTTAATGCTGGAGATGCCAGTTAGAATTGATTTGATTTATTTGCAGTGATAACTTAGCTTTTAGATCAATTGGAAAAAAATATAATAATGCTCTAAACATTTTGCTATTTTTCAAATAAAAATGAATAAAATTAAAAATATATTTTGAAATAGACCTCCTAAAATATATTACTTAAATCAGATAACTATATGCTTAATTTGAAGAAAATTTCCTTTTTTTTTTGGTCTGTTTTGAAATTAAATACCGTTAGTCTTCAAGTCATTGAAAGATACCAGAGAGACTGATGTGAAAGGTGAACCCTTTTTTATAAAAATGTTACGTGCTGTGAAAGTGGAGAGGCTTCTTGTAGAGATGTGGTAATGCTGGGGATTCTGTTTTGGTAATTTTATTTTTCAAATGGTTCTATATTGAGTTCTTTTTCTTCAGCAGGATGGATAATGTGCAGAAAGGCCAAACAAGGTTGAAGTACTGGTACGCAATTGTTAAGAACATTGAGTAGGAGCTAATGCAGCC